AGGACTAGGTAGATCTGTCCTCAAAGGCGCTTTCCAGCTGCACATGAACAGATACTGGCAACCAGGCCTAGATGCCAAGTGCTAAAGAAGAATCTGAGGCTGAGAACTCATTTTCTTAGCAGCCAACTTTTCTCTGTTGCAGAAAGTATCCTGGCGTTGGAGTTGGGTGTGTTTATGGTGGATTATGGGGAGAAGGTAGAACAGGGATCTAATTCCAGGGCCCAAGTTGTGTTTTTTCACTTTTCTGATTTCTGTTTTTCTTTCCTCTCAGCTATTCTCAGAAAGTCCTTGATAGCATTTTGAAGTTATAGGTGATAAAAATCACTGCTATACGTAGGGATTTACAAGGAAGACCATGAGCGTGGATCACTAAGAAAAACATTATGAAAGAATGTAGTGGCCAGGCATGCTGGCTCCTGCCGGTAATCCTTGTATTTTGGGAGGCCAAAGTCGGAAGATGGCTTGAGGCCAGGAGTTCTAGGTTGCAGTGAGCTATGATCACACTACTCTACTCTAGCCTGGGTCAAAGAACAAAATCCTGTGACTAAAAAAACCAGAAAAGAGAGAGAGAAAAAAAAAAAAAAAAAAGCAAAACAGGATGCCCCCTGCGTTTTTCCAGCCACAATATGCTGTTCAATCAGAACACAGTGCAAAGAAACAGATCCTCTATGTGCCCTAGGAGAAGGGTTCCCAAGCCCTGGCATTGCAATCTCCCCATTTCTTCTGCAAAACCACAGGCACTGAGTGCTGCCTCCTCCCTATGTGACCTCCGCCACCAGGCGGGGAAAGACACTCTTTACAAGCAATGAGTGTCAAAGGCCCAAATATAAAAATAAGGAAAACAGAGAAGTAGCTTTGAGTTTGGCAAACCTGAATTGACTTAGTGCATCTGGCTTTAACCTGAGAAGATGAATTTTCATAGATTGCAATACTACTCTACTACTTTTCTACATGGGAGTCCAGGCCTTCATTTTCAGTTTTACCTATTATCAAACGAAGTCATACCTCACAGGAATGTTTCAGGAGTGACGCATTCCATAAAATACGTTTTAAACACCAGACAGTGCCAGATGCCTTCCTGAACTCTGGAAACATTTTCCTTGCCCGAAGGGAACTGAGGAACATCATGTAAACCATGAAGTTAGAAATGAATGTTGTCCTTTCATGAAAAGTTAAAAGTTGTAATTAAGATATCCACAGAGAGGAATGCTGTAGCAGGACAGATGAAACATCATAGAGCCCAGTAGGTTCATCGCATGATGACACAACGTACTAATGTGCTACTCTTTGGGGGAAAGAAAAGAAAGCCTTCAAAAACAGAAATCTCATGTGCCACAACCAAATGATTCATTCACTCATTCAACAGGATTTGTGTACTTATTTATGCCAGGCACTGTGCTAGGTTCTGGCAATATAAGATATTGAATGTAGCCCAAATGAGTACAAGCCTACTGGATCTTAAACTGCTTGCGGGGAATGAATATCCCCTCTCCCTGCAGTAGTTTCCCAGCAGGTTGTCCTCGACCTACCTCTGTTCCCAGGACGATAAAATTGCCCAGAAGTCACACACAGCAAGAACTCTAAGCCACTTTAAGGGAAAGGCAGTTTAACTGTAGCATTTTGAGTGCAATTACACACACTGGAAAACGAAAGTGGGAGGACTCTTGCCCCTCAGTCCCACCCTAGAAGGCAGGCCCTCAAGAGCCTCTGGGACAAGCTCCACATCCAGGAGGAGCCTGCTCAAGTGTGGGTTCCTCGAGCTGCTGCAGTCCAGGTGCTACCCAAAGCCAGCGCATCCCTGCCATGCAGAGTCCTGGAGGATTCAGAATTTAGATTTCAGGATTTCAGAGTTCAGGATTCAGAATCCTGAAGTCTTCCAAAGCCAGAGTCTTATAAGAAGCTGCTCAGGGAGGTAACTGCCTTGCTGTAAGTAGATCTCCACTAGGACACTCAATTAGTGTTCGGATCATTACTCTTTGGTATTTTCCTGAGACTAGTGTCCACTTTACCCACTCGGAGGCTGCTTTTTTCAGAGGGGAACTTGTGGATTCCCTTCATGGACCCCTCATCCTTAAGCCTCCGCCTTTGCATTTAGTTGCTGGTAGGAAATCCTGTAGCCTTGGCCCCAGGGTGACCTCTAGCTGACTGACATCAGTGCTCTGCCCAGATGCCTTCCCGCTGGGGAAGCGGGACTCCAAGGTGGCCCCAGGGTTAGTGGAACACGCTGTGCTGGGAGGCGGAAGGCAGGCTCTCTCCTCTGCAGCACACGCTGTGGACCTTGAGCAAGTCCATCCTGTCTCTGAACCTCAGGTTTCTCCCAGGGTAAGGCAAACAGGCTCTGCACATGCCCCACTGTCCAAAACAGTCGTGAAGTATCTTTCAGATTCGAAAAGCACAATTTCAGTGGTGTCGACTGGTTCTTTTCTCCTTCATCTTACACTTGTACCCACGTGTTAGACCTAGATCTGAGTTTAGCTTGCTCACTAGCATGTGACATTTCTCCATGGCCTGGCATTCCGTACCATTTGCAAAAGCATAAAATGTAGACACCGGTCCACAGGAATTTTGCTGGAGAGAGAAATAAAATGCTGCCTACAATGCTTCTATATATCTTACCAGCAAAGGCTCGAAATCATCTAATATTCATGGTTTAGAAGAGAAACATTACACAAAGTAAATTTAACAGAGTTTAACTTAGCGAGAACGATTCTGGAATGAGGCCGCCCTCCATAACCGGAAGGGGTTCAGAGTGACGCCTTCACTGCCGTGCGGTCTGACAGGGAATTTATGGACAGAAAAAAAGAAAGTAACATACAGAAAATGGAAGTGAGGTGCAGAAATAGCCAATTGGTTACAGCTCCAGATTTGCCTTATTTGAACGTGGTTTGGGCATTTGGCCCCCTCTATTAGCGGAAAGTTGATAGAGCAAGAGTAGCTTACAGCCTGTTTACACATCAGGTAGGTAGGTTGCAAGTCACTATGTCTGGAGGAACCTTTAGGCGGAACTTAAAATATGTAAGGAGACGGTTTTAGATTAAACTTAATTTAACACGTTTATATGCATCAGTCTCTTACCAACCAGAGCCTGGAGACGGAGGTCGGGGAGGAGGGACAGCTGTCAGGGAGATTCTAATTGGTTTTACTTATTGGGAAAGACCAGTTAAGTCAAATCACAGAACAAGCTGATTATTCCTTGGTAATTACCTAATTATTTTGCTATTTCATCCTGCCCATTCAAATAATCTCAGTCCTACCCAGCCCCTTATAGCTTCCATACTTTTCTGTAAATACCCTTATCCTTTCTTCTACTGGTCTCCCAACCTCTTCCTCTCCATTGAAATTCTCTGCCTGCCATCAAGGCAACTGGCAACGCACAAAGAACAAGAAAAATGACCAGCATATGCACACTAGGGAAATTATAAATAAAATAAAATAAGTAAAAACAGCAATGCAGATCTTTTTCTCCTTAATCAAGTCGCTTTCAAAAAGAGATACATCAGAATACCCATGGTTAGCAGAGGTGTGATTGCTGGTGGTGGACTCATGGAAAATTAGCACGTCTTTTGGAAAGCAATTTTGCGATATGAATCTAGAACATAAAATGTGACTATCTTTCAATCCAGTAAGTTTGAATTCCAAAGACAGTAACACTAAAATATGGCAAAGCTTTATGTGAAGAAATGTAACTTACCTTTGATGTTCCTTCACATTGACTGCAATTGCATTTTACACAGTTAAAAACTGAAACCAATGCTCAAACTTTGAGGAATTGGTGAGCAAATTATGTTACATCCATAGTATGAAAAAATGCAATTATTTCATGTTTTCAATCACACAGTAGCATTATTATGATTAGTGTTAAATGAAAGTAGCAGGAAACAAAAGTACATAATCAATATAGCCTAACTTTGTAAAGCAAAGCACACAAAGGAGCTAAATAATGCAAATAAGTTCATAGCAATTACTTCTCAGTTTGCATAGTGTACAGTTTTTACTGGTCTTATTTATGCTTTTCTGTATTTCCCAGATTTTCTGCAATGAGACTGAATTTTATAAGGAAAAAATGTTTTAAAATATCTGCCCACAATAACCAGTACCGGGTTTTAAACTTTTGGCTGAAGAGTGAGTTCCCAAAGACACACAGATGCCTGGCCTACACAGGGTTTCCATTCATGAATCACAATGAGGCTGCCAGGTGGCCGTGTTCCAAAGACAGTTGACAGGTCACCTGGCTGATGTTTGTTAATTCTTGAAATTCTTGATGACTTTTGACATTTTTTTATTTGGAGAGAGTTGCATTATTTCAAATTGTTCTTATAGAGATTGTATTGACATTCTCAGATCCCAAATTTTTGAGACTCAAATAATTCAAATTCACAGAAAATGAAACCAGAATGAACAATCGATATTGAAGACACTGTATTTCTAAACAACACACTATCATTGCTTAAAAAATAGTTTTGGCAGTGTCACATCAGAGATTTGTGGCATACAATGCCAGCAGAAAGTTAATAAGCATGTTTCATAAGCAGATAGTATGTTTAGTGATACATAAGAAGACATTGATAATTTATTTTACATTAATTCATTGAAGCAGACATGCAAAACTGTCTACAGCAGCGGTCCCCAACATTTTTGGCACCAGGTACTGGTTCATGGGAGACAGGATTCCCACAGACCAGGCGATGGCCGTGGCGAGTGACAGAGAGCGGCAGTGAATGCAGATGACCCTTCGCTCACTCGCCCGCACCCGCCACCCGCTGTGAGGCCTGGTGCCTAACAGGCCGCGGACGGGTACCTGTTCCCGCATGGGAGTTGGGGACCGTGGGTCTACAGGAAGTTCATAAAGTCTGGAAACATAGGTGCATACACATAATGCCATCAAGGACATTTTCAGTGCGTCAAACACGCACGCACACACACACACACACACACACACACACACACACACAGGTACACACTGCAGACTTTGTGTAGAATGGAAATCAAGTGCCACGTACCTGGAATCCTATTGAGTGTCACCCAGAAATGCTCATCAGGAGAGTATGTGTCCTTCGACCACTCAAGTAAATTAACCGCCCTCTGGTCTTGAAGAACAAAATCCGCGAACTCCCTTGTAAGGGCCACGTAGGCAGAGCCAAAGTAAATGGTCAGATCATGAGGAGGAGGACTTTTTCTCATCCAAGTCCACAGCATAAAGGAAAACAAACGGTATCTCTGCTCCAAGTGCATGTATTTGGTCCTTCTGGTGATATGAGGAGGAGGCAGCACCCCTGGGGTAATGTTTTTCCCTTTAAATCCTTTCAGGTGCTGAACTATTTCCCTGTTGGTTTTCAGGGGGAAGTCTTGCCCACAGGTGTTGATGGCGTACTTCCAGGGGACCTGGGAGGCCACCAGGTCTTGCAGGCAGTTGAGGTCGGCCTGGAGCCTGGAAATTCCTGCGTAGACCACGGACTCCCTCTTTGAAGCCACAAAGGCATTTGCGAAGCAGCTCAGTAGTTTTCCAACAGCATCTTTGAAAGCAGCTGGGGCCTTCTCATCCACGTGAACGCAGTAGATGTTCTGGGGAGCGTAAATAGCCCTGAAGAGCCTTTCAAATGTAGCAAAGTCCTTGTGGATGACCATGACATACGCCAAAGGGAACTCGGCTTCCTCTTTGGACAGAGCTTCCATTATGTAGTGATTTTGGACCAAGTATTGTTGGCAGGTTATGCTTCTCAGTGGTGTCACTGGTGTACTTTCATCCAAGAAAATCTCCTTTCCTTCCATAATCATGTCACAAACTTTTGCAAGGTCTGAAGAGTTTGAGATTTTCCCTACTCGCAGGTATTTTCGCAGGAATAAATTTCTGGTATACAGGAAGAAAAGGGTTATAGACATGGCCACAAACCCCACGACCAACCCAAACACCTTCAGCTTCATTTTTCTCATGATCTCTTCTTAATTTTTCACTTGCCTGACTTCATACATACTACTGCGAAAGTCGCTCTGCAGGGCCCTATGCAGACTGTCGGGAAGTCTGCTCTAACTTCTTATTTCCAGCAAGAAGAGAAATGTTACCGTTACTTAAGGGAAGGGAGATCAACTACAAGTCTGTATTCTTTTCTTATATTGCAGGAATAGAGTGGATCTGCAGACACGAGCCAGTGGGGCCAAGTGACCACCTAGCAAGAGCTGGGCATGTTTGGCACCTCTGTCTAGGTCAACCTCAATGGAGACCCTGTCAAATCAGCCATCGCTGCCAACTCAGCGTGGTCTTCCCATGTGGGGTCAGGGTAGAATGGGTGTCCATCTTGCAGGTGTTTTCCATGGCCAGGTCACATTTACATTCACAACACCCAGAATTGCTCAATATCAGGGTCTCTTTACCTAAAAATAAAGATTAAGAATTCATAGAATTTCAGGGCTGGAAGAATCATGCAGATTTTTTGCACCTACTCATTCAACTAGCAAATGTAGAACACTGAAAATGAACCAAAATTAATACCCTATCACATTTTTGTCTTCATTTTCTTGCTGATAACCATATTAACTTTATAGTCAGTTTTACACAGGAGGAAAGATACACGGACTTGCCTAATATCCAGTAAGGAGTTAATGGTATCATGGGGTCTCAAACCTATCTCTGCTGACTCCACAGGCCTTCTACCTGGAATGTTCTCTCCCCCTACCTTTTCTTGATGAGTTCCTAGTCATCTTCAGGTCCCTGTGTGACACTGCTTCCTTGGTGACCCTTCACTGCCTTCTCACATCTGAATTAGGAGCCCTTCCACAAGAAGACCTTGTACTCCCTATCCTTGCTTGTTTGTTTGCTTTACCACTAGCCCATGGAGGACTATTTCTTTTCTTTTTTAAAAAAATAATTTTATATATTTTAGTTTTTAAATTTATGATGACACACAGCAATTGTACATACTGATTCGTTACAACATGATATTCTGTTTACATGTATACATGGTATAACGAGCAAATCAGGGTAATTAGCACATGTAACAACTTAAACATTTATCATTTATTTGTGATTAGAACATTTAAAAACCTCTCTTCTAGGTATTTTGAAACACATTTTTGCCAACCATGGTCATCTTATTATGCAAGAGAACACCCAAACTTTTTCCTCCTATCTAACTATAGCTTTGTACTTGTTGCCCAATTTCTTATCATCCCTCCTACTCCTGTTCTCTCCAGACTCTGGTGACTGCAGATATACTCTCTACTTCTGAGAACAACTTTTTGGATGCCACACGAGTGATATCATGCAGGATTGGTCTTTCTGTGCTTGGCTTATTTCACTTAACATAACGTCCCATGGAGGACTATTTCTGTCTACTGGTCACTGTGTTGTCAGCACCTTGCTTATAGTAGCACTTATTGAATGAAATCCAGCCACTCTTTCCTCTCTTCCAAGGGTCAGCAAAACTACATACAGCTCAGGGACCCAACCGGCCCACTGTGTGTTTTTAGCTGACAGCCTGTCAGCTAAGAGTTATTTTATATTTTTATTTTTACTTTTTTTATTTTTTATTTTTTTAGTACACAATGAATTCCTTTTATTTCAGTATGCATCCACATTTCAGCGTTTAGTGGACCTGAACAGAAAGTGGAAAAATGCAGCAATTTGCCAGGAAGTCAGCCCGCCAATTTCGGAGATTTGCTGTGTACTCTCAGTTTTTTCTAGATCCCTGCTGAGGGTCATAAGAAGCAGCAGCACCAAAACCAAAGTATACACTGAATTCAAGGTTCTCTTTGTTCCAGTTGTCAAATTCCAAACTAGACCCCAATGGATTGCAAGGATGACCAAATGAGAGCCCTGTTCAAAACTTCTTCAATGTTTAAAAGCAAAAGCAATTATAGGAAAAGAAAACAATTAAGAGGGACCATGTCTGTTTAGGAGTGTCTTCATGTGGGTTTTCTCCAAGTTTAACCACCAATGACTCTGAGAGCTGGCAGGTCTGAGTAACCCTGGTGGAGTGTTCTTTTCACCTTATCAAAACCTGAGCTAAAAACGCATCAGTTGATGATGACAGCAGAGGGTGGCCGGGCTGAGGATCCCAAATTCATTTCCCAGGCTGGTGGAGTGAATAAATGCGGTTCCAAAACTAAACGAGGGAGGTCAGAGACTCTGTCCAACCTTACCTGATGGCTTCTGGCCAAAGCAAGGAGTGTCATGGAAAGCGTTGGGTGATGACAGAGCAAAGAGGGACTTGAGGAGGAGGGGGGAGAAGCAGCACCCCTCTTTAAAGGTGGGGGAGAGAAGATATGGGGAGAGCCCCAAATTCCTCACCAAAGGCCAATCTCAGAGGAGAACAGAGGGGTTACAATCTACGCTTTGGCCAAGGGTGGGAGTGGAGGAGAGGGGGGAGGGGACGTTGGCTTGGAAGGGGGCATCGCTTAAGACTTAAAGAAAGAAACCAGGGGTGCAGGTAAGGCACCCCACACACCCAGCAGTAGCCCCACAGGCTGCGACCTGAAACCTTCACATCTCATCCACTCTAACAGGCCCCCGAGCTGGAGGGCTGTTGCAGGGAGGGACAGAGGTGGGGGAAGGGAAGGAGAGAAGGCAGAGACCCCAGGCCATGTAATCAGCAGCAAGGTGATTGTGTGATGTGTCTTTTCACAGTCGAGTTAGATGTGCCCCACCAGTGATGATGGGAACCAATTTAAATATACCTTCTTGATCTCAGAAGTTCAACTACATGGACAATGGTTGCACTTGACAGGATGATTTGTTATAGCACAACTTATATATTTCAAATGGACAAAAAATTAATATAATTTACAGTATCTTAAGACAAACTGCCTTTGAATGGAAGCTTCCTTTCCAGTACTTTGAGGTCTACAAGACGTATCTAGAAAATTTACTACTGTGGAAAATGAAGACTGCTTAAATCTAATGGGGGTAAGGGGAAGGGCCTATGGTTTTTCCTTTTGATTAATTGCTGTAACACTGTCCTTCAGGTGGCTGAGGGAGTTTCATATTTTCTTTAGGACATTAGGTGCCAAAGCTCTTGTAGGACAACTGTGATGCTATATGAATTCTGCCATTTTGCTAGCACTGATATGGCTCCTGGATCTACCACTCCATTAGAACTATTAATTCCATTCATATTAATTTTTGTTACAAATCTTACAAAGGGGGGTGCTTCTGGGTATTTAGGTCCACATTCTATTTTAAGGCTGCGTATTCAGTTTTCATAAACTCAAGCCCGTGGTGGCTGCCATCTTGTGTCGCTGTCTAGTTTTACATTTTTAAATGGTTGAAAAAAATACAAAAAAGAAAAATATTTTGTGACACAATGAAAATTATATGAGATTCAAATTTCAGTGCCCATAAATGCAGTTTTATTGGAACATAGCCATGATCATTTGTTTACATGCTATCTATGGCTGTTTCCACATTACAATGGCAGAGTTGGGTTGTTGCAATAGAAGTTATCTGGCCAACAAAACTTGAAATAGTTCCCATCTGGCCCTTATCAGAAAAGGTTTGTGGACACCCTCCCCTGTGTTTACTGATGTCCCTGCAGGCTGTATGTTCTCACTACATCAAGATAGGTATTGGGGTCTTCATATCATTTTACAACTTTTTGCTTTATTTTCAAGACTTCCTTATGAATGCTCAAATGACAGCATATTTGGTAGCAAAGCATGGGCTCTAAAGAGAGACTGTGTGGGTTTCGATCTTGGTGTTACAGTTTCCTCATTGTGTGACCTTGGACAAGTTATTATACTTTATCCATCTAGTATAGTTTCTTTGCCTGTAAAATCAAGGTAATACCAGTAGGGTTGTTTTGTGAATTAATGAGCCAATAAGGAGAATGCACTTTGAGCAGACTCTGACACGTAGTCAATACACCCAAACACTAGCTATTATTGCTAATTGCACATAGTCACTTCTAGGCTCTGTTATGCAGCTAGTGAACTGGAAATTCATAGCCCTGCACTTTGTCCCACTTCCTTATGGCCCAAGCTTTGGCAAGAGGTGGTGCTGCCACACAGTGGCCCTCCATGGCGTAGCTTGGCATGTTCTTTCTTTTCTTTAGGTGGTTGAGAATCTGTGGACCAGAGAGGAAGGGTGACTTTTCACGCTATCACAGCGTTTCATTCCTCACCCGAATGTGAGCATCTTAAAGGGAAGAACGTGTCTCTGGAGGCATGAGAAGTGCTCCACATGGCATTTGAGGGACCCTGAAAAGGCTGCCTGTTCCAAGTTTTCAACCCCAACAGCCAGCCAAGGCATCCACAATGACATTTCAGAGGTTTCTTAAGGAGGCAAATTGTTTAAATGAGTTATGGCTCAAGGATGACCTAGTGATAATGTCTATCTAGCTCATTAGGCCATTTGAAACCGATGACACTCAACAGAGGTTCTGAAAGAGACAGGTTAGAGGGAAGAAAATCAAGCAAGGTCTGGAGTATGGGATGCTGATGGGGATATTTGCATATTCCAAATAGAATATTTGCATATTCTAAAATCTGAAAAATTCCCAAATAAAAACATTTCTGGTAACAAGCATTTTGGATAAGGGATACTCAACCTGTAGTTTCATTTTAATTATCAATATTTCTATGCGGTTTGACTCAACATGAAGTTTTTAAAATTCTCACTATTTTTATTTTAATTCAGAAAAAAGTTAAATGGTCACATAAGACAATGGCTACTGGCTACAGTCCAGTGACAGGAATGGAAAGAAGCTTAGAGGTCATCTTGTTGACATGTTATTTTACAAAGAAAAGCAATATGCCATCCAGAGAGGGAAAGTGACTCACCTAAAGTCACGAAGGTCTTAAGCCCCGGACGTGGGACTGGCAGCTGGTTGCTGCTGGTCCGATGCAGTAAGTTGCTTCCAAAAACATTTCCTTCCTCTTGTCCTACAGCAAAGACTTCAGAAAACAAAATTACACAAGCATGTCTCTAGGTCTAGCTCAGT